AAAAAAAAAAAAAAAAGGACTTCCATGTTTTAGAGATGGTTAAAAGAGCGTGGAGAAATACAGCACAGGTGGGGATGCTTCTCTTTTTGAGGTTAGTGCTGGTTAAAGAAAGCAACTGGTTGAGAGAATTTTTTAGTAGAATTCAGGAAAACTTCTCAGTCAGGATTCAAAAACTTTAAGAACGGATTTGACCTATACCAAGGGACTGACTGAAGGGGAGCTTTAAGAAAGAACCTATCTCATGGGCGGAAGGAAGGATAAACTGGGAATTCAGACTAGAGATTATTTTAACACTGTATGTAAAAATGAGACATATCTAATTCCTATATATGTATTTAATTATATTCAAAGAGCATTTCAGACTAGTCTAAACTGGCTTTCCATGCCCTGGCCAGTGTGGTTCATCAGTTAGAGCATCGGCTAGCCCACCAAAGGGTCTTGGGTTCAGTTCCTGGTCAAGGGCATGTGCCTAGGTTACAGGTTCCATCCCCAGCCCTGGTCAGGGCGAGTTCGAGAGGCAACCAATCAGTGTGTCTCTCTCACATAGTTGTCTCTCTCTCTCTACCCCCACCTCACTCCCCTCCACTCTCTCTAAAAGTCAATGGAAAAAACATACTCTAGTGAGGATTAACAAAAATAAATAAACTGACTTTTCACTTTCAGTAACTACCAATACTGTATTGTCCAGGATGGCCTCGGGAAGGGAAAAGGGAAAGACAGGCCCTAAAGACCCTGTATTTAGTAAAGAAACCTTGATCCTTTGGCAGTAGAAGAATGTAAACAAGCAACTCTAAAGTGATTGAGAACATTCTGTCCAAGAACTTCTCAGAGTTTTATCAGTTCTCTAAATCAATTGAAAGTGCTCTCAGTTCTGTACCTTGAACTAGTTAAAGCTGGGACTGAAAACCATCAATCTTGAAACTTTGCAAAATTAAATTTTCTCTTGGGGCCCAACAGGTGGTTTTTACCTCCAAGAGTTTAAGAATTGTGGTAGAGATATTTCTCATTTAAATGTTATACAGTGATACCAAATTATTTTATTTGCCTTAAAGCTCCTGAACTACTTAGCTTTTATTTGAGTTTATGTCAATCTGACTATCAGTTTGATGATATTAACTTTATATCTGCCATGCAAGTTTCTTTAAAACATGCCAAGGTAGAAATTTAGTTACTTATCTTTTTAAAAATAAATGCCAATGTATTTTCTTTTCAGGGCATTTGATGTAGAACTGCTATACATAGCACAGTTCTTTAAAATTCCAGTAGCTGAAATTGCTGTAAATTGGACTGAAATTGAAGGTGAGTACTATATTGTTTATGTTATAGCTGATCTTAAGGGGGACAGGGAGATGTAAGACAATACAGTTGTCCAGTAAAGTCAGCTGGCTCTAATATTCCCCCATCAAAGCCTCCTCAGCTGTCTTAACTCTGAGCGCTAGTTGCATAGAGCATACTGCCTACTAATGCCCTCCACTCTCCAGCTACCTTACTGCTCTCTATATTTTTTCAGTCTTGGGGTCTTCAGTAGGCTTACCACCGTGCCTAAGAAATTCAGTAAAACTTGCTAAAAAGACAAGATCATGGTGATCTGAGGCTAGAAGTGAGGTTGATTGTCTTTTCAGATAAACTTTATTCTTTTCATCACCATTTTTTTAGTATTATATTATCACTCAGTGAATATCAATTGAGTTCCTACAAACCACTATGCAAAGTTAAATGAGGAATTATACTTGTTTTTATTTCGAGTGTCCAGTCCATTCAGAGCCACTTTTTAACTGGTATCCAAAAATGTAAAGTTTTCTGAGATCTATAATAATGTGAAATCTATCATAATTCTTAATTTCTTTTCAGAAATGCTTAGTTCTGGCTGTGTAGAATTTAAAACTATTTCAGGCTTCTCCTTTACTTACCTTAGAATGATCTTAAATTCATGGGTTATAGCCACCTCTGCCCTAAGTGAGCATGGCCTCCTCTAGAGTACTTGTTGCAATAAGCTATTAATTGCTCTATAACCTCAAATGTTTAGGGACAGAAAAAGCTTAAGGACCAGCATGCAAATCACATAAACAATATAGCCTAGAAGAAATTCCAAACTCTTAAAGTCTACTAACTCATTCAGTTTCCAGAAACTTAATCTCCATAGCAGCCTAGATCAAAAGGAATCAGGTAAAGGGATTACTCAGACTTGTAATGAACAATCCTGCCAATCTGTCTGCGATGATCTATGCCCAGCCTAAACTCCATGGGAAGTTGAAGTGGGGAAAAGTAAAGTGTTTTGTATTTATATCTTTTGCTCGTTTGCATTACAGAGATTGTTGTATCTTAATATGAATTATAGATAGCCCAAATTCCTGATTTGTGGAATGAAGGTAGTCTTTGCCCCTGGTTAATAATACAGAATGAGGCTAGTTGACAAAGTACCATGATGGTAATTTTCAGAAGAAAGCTGCTAAATAAATTCAAGTCCATGAAAAAGGTTGTCTTTGAAGATAAAATAAAATTAAAATGGTAACGAAATTTTAAACCTTCTTCCTGACAGATTTTCATTTGTCTGCATGTATATTAACAATTATAAGGATCCACTGTGACATGTGGATCATACATTTAATTAGATGGGCATTCCTGTGTAGCCTGGGACAAAGAGGTCTGGACAAAATTGTCTTAAGTCTGATCGCAGGCTTTATTTTTCACCATTAAGATTGGGTTCATATATAGAAATAATCTTATTTATCTTTATGCTGTGTCTTTAGTTATTCTGTATATATTTCTTTTCATTAACCAGCACTCAAAAGGTAGTTTTGTGTTAGTTATTTCCAGAACCCTCAGCCATGTACAATTGTATAATAGGGCTATCTGAAATTTTCAATTTAGATCCTCCCAAGTTTCATTTCACTTCAGGATGTTTTCTTTTCATTGTTTTTTAGAGAAACTACTCACTTCAACATTGAAGATGTTTAATTCTTTTATCCATGACTTAAATAAAATTAAGGTGGATGAATTAATTAACTTGATTGTGGTAATTATTTCACAGTATATTTGTGAATGAAATTATTACTTTAAATATGGTTCCATTTTATTTGTCAGTTATACCTCAGTAAAGCTAACAAAAATTTAAGAAGTGAAAGAAGCCAGAGCACTTGGCCTTAAATCTGGAAATTGTCAGTGATTATTAGTATTGTGATCTTAGCCATGTTACTTTACCACCCAGCACCCATTACCTGACCTGTAAAATTGCAGGGATGACAGGGAGCCTCTACTCCTGACATACTAAAAAGACAATTACAAGGAAATAAGATATTAAAACATACTCAGAAGTGTATTTTATATAGTTAGCTGGGCTTGGCACATTGCCATTTGGCAATTACAGGACAGGAAGATGGCTTAATTATGATGTCATTTATTTTAACTGATTTAAGAGTCTTTGGTAGAATTATAATAAAAATTACATTTTTGTCTTAGATTTCTTATCTCAGATTATTAATCTATACTTGTATTATGTGTAGAGGTATACTTGATTCTCTGTAGTGCATATGAGACTGAAAATTAGTGTTCAAAACATGAAAATTTCTCCCAAAAAATTATTTTTAAATGTAGTGCTTAACATACATAACATAAATAAAATTAAGGTGCCTAGAAGCTCCCAAAAGTCTTGTAGACTGACTTCTAAAATATAATTGAACTGATATATTTTCTCCTGAGTTTAAGTTAATTTATTTTTAATTATTATTTAATCACAGGTTCTAAATTAATTCCATTTTGGAGTTGGCTACAAATGGGCAAGGACCTACTTTTTATACGACTCCGATATTTGACTGGTGCTTGGAGGCTTGAACAAACCAGGAAAATGAAATAGGTTATTTGCCATTTGCCATCTTTGATTGTATTATGTATTATTGTGACATTATTTCATTTGAATTAAAACTTTAAATAAAGCAGGAATAAACCTATGTCATTGTCTGCCTTTTGATAATTTTCAAGAATTAACTGCCATATGTAAAAAATTTTATACATCTTTTGGACACAAAAAAATTAAGGTTTTTGTAACAAGTCAGATTTTCTTCTGCTTTTAGCAAATTTTATTTATTTAGATTATCACTGTATATCTGAGAAATAATACTTTTTAAACAAGACAGAAGCAGTTATTCCTACTCTAAAATACCTTGCATAATCCTCATAAACTTAAATATAAACCACAGTTATGTAACAGTGTTTAGGAATTTAAAATAAAGTTAACAGTCCTGGTCAAGTGGCACAATTGGTTGAAATGTCATCCCATGCACTGCAAAAGGTTGTGGGTTTGATTCCTGGTCGGGGCACATACCTAGGTTGCAGGTTCAATGCCCGGTCGGGGTGCATACAGGAGGCAACCAATTGATGTTTCTCTCTCACATTGATGCTTCTCTCTGTTTTCTCCCACCCTCTCTAAAATCAATAAAAACATATCCTTAGGTGAGGATTAAAAAATAATAAAGTTAATAGATGTTTATTTTCTTTTTTAAAGGCATGGAAATATGTGATTAATTTTTCTAAATCATTTTTTATTTTTTAGTTACAATTGACATATAATGTTGTATTAGTTTCAGGTGTACACCCAGTGATTAGACATTATATAACTTACTGAGTGATCATCCGATAAATCCCATACCCATCTAACACCATACATAGTTATAATAATATTATTGGCTATATTACCTTTGCTGTACTTTATGTGCCCATGACTATTCTGTAACAACCAATTTGTATTTAATCCCTTCAGCTTTTTCACCCATCACTACAAACCCCCTCCCATCTGGCAACTTTCAAAATGTTCTTTGTATGTATGAGTCTGTTTCTATTATTTGTTCATTTGTTTTTTAGATTCAGTTGTTGATAGATATGTGTTGTCATTTTATTGTTCATATTTTTTTCTGTCTTCCTATTTTATTGTCATTTTTTTATCTTCTTTTTTTCTTCTTCTTCTTTAAGAAGACCCTTTAACATTTCATGTAATACTGGTTTGGTGGTGATGAACTCCTTTAGTTTTTTATTGTCTGGAAAGCTCTTTATATGTCCTTCAATTCTAAATAACTTTGCTGGGTAGAGAAATCTTTGTTGTAGGTTCTTGCTTTCATCACTTTGAATATTTCTTGCCACTCCCTTCTGGCCTGCAAAGTTTCTGTTGAGAAATCAGCTGACAGCCTTATGGGAGCTCCCTTGTAGATAACTAACTGCTTTTCTCTTACAGCTTTTAAGATTCTCTCTTTGTTTAACCTTTTGCATTTTAATTATGATGTGTCTTGGTGTAGACTTCTTTGGGCTCCTCTTCTTTGGGACTCTCTGTACTTCCTGGACTTGTATGTCTATTTTCTTCACCAAGTTAGGGAACTTTTCTGTCATTTTTTCAAATAGATTTTCAATTTCTTGTTCTCTTTATTCACCTTCTGGCATTACCATGATGTGATTGTTGGTACACTTGAAGTTGTTCCAGAGGCTCTTACACTATCCTCATTTTGGAGTGTTTTTATTTTATTATTTTATTTTACTTTTTACTGTTTTGATTGGGGTTTTTGCTTCCTTATTTCCAAATGGCTTATTTGATTCTTGACTTCATCTACTCTACTGTTGATTCCCTGTAAATTATCTTCATTTCAGTTAGTATATCCTTCATTTCTGACTGGTTCTTTTTTATGGTTTTCATGTCTTTTTATGCTATTGGAGTTCTCACTAAGTTCATTGAACATCCTTATAACCAGTGTTTTCAACTCTGCATCTAGTAAGTTGTTTGTCTCCATTTTGTTCAGTTCTTTTTCTGGAGTTCTTTTCTTTCATTTAGGACATTTTTCTTTGTCTCCTCATTTTGGCAGCTTCCCTGTGTTTGTTTCTATGTATTAGGTAGACCTACTGCCTCTTCCAGGTTTGGTAGAGTGGCCTTATGTAGTAAATGTTCTGTAGGGTTCACAGCCCCCCTGATCACCCAATCTGGACACTCCTAGAGGTTGTGTACACCCTACTGTTGTATTTGAGCCTCAATTGCTGTTGCATCAATGGGAGGGATTTACACCCAGGTCGATCTGCAAGGACAGGCAGTGACCACCCACCACCATCAGCTGGGAAGATCAGCTGTGTAGGTATCCACCCCACAGGACTTACTTCAGTGGGGCTCTGATTCTCGCTGAGTCCACCCCTTGAGTGTGTTGCTTATGGAGGCTGTTGAGTGGTGGTGCTTTGGCATGGTCTGAAGCTGTCCAATGGGTGTGTGGGCTCTGGGGCCTCCCAGGAGGTGCAGACCAAGGTCAGCTACCACCTGTGTTCTGCCTGGGGCCACCCAACATGAGCTACAAAGCAGTCTGCAGATGATTGCTATTTGTACAGGGCTTGGAGGTGCCCAGGTAAGGCCAAGCTGCAAATCAAGGCTGGTTGCTACTAATGCTGGGCCTGGGGCCACTTAGCGGAAGGTACAGGGCATACTGAGGCCAGATGCTGCTTATTTGAGATTTTAGGAAAGTGAAGCATGAACCAAGACAGGCCATGAGTATGGGAATGCCGCTGAAAACAGCTTGGGTGGGCCCAAAAGTGTGGTGGGACAGTCTCAAGGGATTACCAGGGCAGGGCAAAGAATGTGAGCTAAGTTGATGGAGACTCAGGCATGGTATCTTCCTGCTGGCTCTGTGTTGGTGGGGGGTTTGAGAAAAGGAACAATGGCCTCTGCCCACACTTCAGTCTGGGAGAAAACTCCCCTCCAGCTCTCACACTAATTCCAGACAATTCATTTCCTCCCCATATGTCCCTGTTGCCTTGTAAGCTGTTGCCCCAGGCCTAGAGCTCACAGAAAGTGAGTCTGACTAAGTCCTTGGGCCAGCCCTTTAAGGGGAACTGCCTGGGACTTCAGCAGCCTCCATCTCACTCAGCCACAAACCCCACTGGTTTTTACAGCTAGAAGTTATGGGGACTTCTCTTCCTGGCACTGGAACCCTAGGCTGGGGAGGTTTGGTGTGGGACTGGCCCTTTTCTTCTCTCTGCCCCTTCTATCAGTCTCTGTGTGGTTTCTTCTTTATATCCTTAGTTGTAGTAGGACATACGTTCAGCTAAATTTCAAGGGTTTCTGAATGACGGTTGTTCTGTAGTTTAGTTCTAACTTCGATATGGTTGTGGGAAGATGTGAGTACCACATTTACCAACACTGCCATCTTGACTGGAAGTCAACATTAACATATGTTTAAATATACAATTTCTATATTAAAGACTAGATATAGGCTTGGTCATAAAGGTATCACTGTCTTATTTATCTCCTTTCTAATTTACATATGTATACTGTACTTACTCCCTTCCCTCTTGAGTTCATGTTATTAGAAATTGGAAATTATTAAAAAGAGAAAGTATTTTAATACTAATAAATATATTTACTTAACATCAAAAGGCTGTGTTTTTGAGATACTGTAAAGACTAATAAATAGCAATTACAAAATAATGAACCCCTAAAAATCAGAATTAGGGTCATTCTGATGTTTTAGAGAGACTAATAATAAAAACTAACATTGAGTGCTTAGTATTTGGCAGTCACTGTTCTAAGCACTAAGTACTAGATGACTCACCTAACATTTGTAACAAAAGAGGAAAAACTGAGGCAACAAAGAGTTTCCTTGCCCAAGGTCACACAGCTAGGCAATAGTGGAATCATTATTTTAGCCCACATAATCTGGATCCAGAGCCTACTCTCTTTATCTATGGTACCAGTTCCTGATAGTATGAAAATAGGATATATGAAAGTAGAAATTTGCCAAAATACATTAAGTATAACATTTTAAAGATAAAACTTTATCTTTAAAGTGGAAAAGAAAATAAGCTAAAAATTATTCGTTCTCAGTAGTTTCAACAACAGTGATACTATTGCATCTGCATTAGACAATAGGCTCCTTGAAAATAGAAACCACTCCTTACTCAAATTAGTGTTCCCAGTACACTGCTTACCAAATAGTAAACACTTAATATTTATAAAGTAAGGAAACTTCATTTACTATCAGATTTTGAGAGCACTTAAGTCACCTAAATAAACAGAGCAAAGCAAGGTTTATGCAAGTAGAAATGATAGAAAGCAAATAAAAGAATAACCATGAGGAGGGAAGATGGCGGCGGCAGCAGAGCGCCCCCACTCCCAGCCACGGACTCGATTTCCTCCTAAAATCCTATGTGGCCAGCTTGGAAAAACCAGGGAAACATACCTGAGTGGACGGAGTGCGAGTGGGGAGCACTGAAGAAACATCATAGAGTCCGGTAAGAGAGGGGGTGCTTAGGAAGGGGGAGTCCCCCTGAAGCCTGTGCTGGGCTCTGAGCTCCCTCCCCTTGGGAGTGTGGATGGCATCCAAGAGCGGGGATCCCTCACCCGGAGCGACGAGAGGGGAAGGAGCGCCCCGCACAAAGGGCAGAGGGACCCAGGGGAGCAGTGAGTCTGTGAGGAGGGGTCGGTGCCTGCCTAGGAGACAAAGCCTCTAATGGTGGACAATGCCTTCGTAGCAAAACAAAGCTTCTAGTGGCGGCTGCGACCAGTGTCTAGTGCTCAGGATGCCGACTATAGGGAAGGCTGTTCCAAAGTGTGTGGTACGAGAGTGGTAAGGGAACAGAGGGCTGCACTGAGCAGCCGCACATGAGTACCCTCTGCCTCCCTGTGGGAAATTGTGTTGAGCCCCAGAAAGCACTGAATCTGCTTGGCGTGGGGGAGGGGAGGGCCCCTCCCGCCCTGAGCTCCCGGTGCGGAGAGGCTGGGATCTGTGACAAGCCCTGCCGGGCACCATGGTGGCTCGTGAAGCTGCCCCAGCTTTGCTGAGAACAGTGGTGCAGGGAGCTGCGTGGAGCTCACTTTGGGTCCCCTCCCACTGGGTGCCTTGGTGCGCGGGCAGCGGGACCTTGCAGGGCGGACTCTCTGCCAGTGTGTTGCTTTGTGCATTTGTGAGTTTGATCCTGGAATTGGCTC